TTAGCATGTGAACCCTTCATTTGAAAAAGCAACCAATTTTATATTACATTCAACTTACTCTCTAGGAAACCTGAGAATATCTGACGATGAACAAATACAATTTTATAGCAAAAATCATGTCAGAAGTTCAATAATTTCTGGACTTGCAAGTTGAGTGAGGTATTATTACCTTTGAAAAATACTTTTCAGCCTTTTAAAAGGAAATTACCTTTTAAAAAGTGATATAAAGTTCTCCTGAAGATTTACCAGTTAAACCATTATTTCAAAAACGATACTAAATGTTGCTTGATAAACTTGTAAATAATACAGGATAATTATTTTGTATGACTTATTTAAATTGGAGAAATGAAGTAATGTTCAATGCTGTGGTGCACTGTAATTTCTTGTCGCTTTAATTTCAAAAAACCTTTCAGTTGGGACTTTTCAAGGTTGGTTACAATTCTTATCTTTTAGAAAATTTTCCTCTGTCTAGTTTTAAGAGCATTACTACTTTTGCCCTCCGCCCTTGATGTGTTTGTTATATTACATTGTTACTGTAGTACTGTGTGTGGTAGCATCAGCAAAGACTCCCTTCTCCTGCTAATTGTTTAAAAGCAAAGCCAAACATTGGCCAGCGAGTTTATTTTGTAGGAAGTGATTGACTGTGGGAAAGTCTGGTGGGATTTTTAGCAGCTTTAAACTTTTATCAGTCTGGAACTGGCAAGATGAAACACACTTTTAACTAAGCAAAATTTGCTGTGTAACCTCAAAAATACAGCAGTGGCTTAATACATAAAATATAGGTCAACTATATTTATTCTGGAACCACCTTAGCATTTTCCATTATTGCCAGGTGGTTTGCAAACTTGTAAAATTGAAGATTTTGTTTCCTTTCCTTGTTCTTTGCAGCAAAAGTAGTAATGAAATGAGTTTTTACCCTGTAATTCATAAATGAACAGAGCAAGTATTAACCTGCCAGTGAAGTGGGTTTTAATGACTCACAGCAATATCCAAACCCTGGTGGCAGAGGACAATGTTTACAGGGTGGTAATTTAGAGATTAATATATGTCTTAGACACAGTTTATAAACATGGTTTAGTTTTCTCTTGAGAAAACAGCTTTTTCTTAAATGGTTTTAATATTTAAGAAAACATTATACATATGTATGTATGTGTATATACATATATACATATAGATAGATGATTGATAGATAAATAGATAGATAGATAGATAGATAGTTAGTGCTATTAGTGCTATTTACACTGAAGTACAAAATAGCCAAGGGGATAATTTGATATTAATATTAGTTAAACTTTTGAAGTTGAGATATGAGACTGAACAGTAGACTAAAATCTTAACCCTGGATTAACTGATTATTGTGAATGGAAGATGGGAGGGAAGGTGAACTCTGATAATCTGATTTCATATGATTTTAGAACAGTCATGGTGGAAGAGTGAGTTAACATTTACATCCATCCCCTCTTTCATTATGTACCTCCCCTCGTCCCAGCCATTATTAAACAAGCATTAAACTGTAGAAGCACCTTTGAGGCCTTCTCATTTTCCCTTGAGGGTTCTATGGTTTCTCAGGAAAACAAAGGAAAGAAGGCAGTACAGTTTCTCTTTCCTTCCAGTATTCTTTCCTTCTTTTTCATCCAACTTAAAGGTATGTGTACTTTCTCTTTACCACCTTTCTAGTTTGTCTTTACAAGGCAACTCACAATAAGAAGCAGGGAGTAATAGAATTGTGAAACTTCATCATTTGAAAGGCACTCCTTTACAAATGATGCTTCCTAAACCCGATGCCTTCTGAAGCTGGTAGAGAAGGAAGAGGCAAAACAAGCCATATCATATAGACTCTGAATATATATTGCTATATTTATGTGTCATACTTAGGAGTGAAAGATAATTGGAGTTCCTTTATTGCAGTGTGGGCTGAAATAAAAATAAAAACTAAGAAATGAGCATAATAGGGCTGTTGGGATTTGGAAGAAGTAACTGCCACATTTAAATATTTGAGATGAGTGCTTTTGAAGAATATTTATCAGGAAAATGCTGACTATATTTACCAAGATAATGCTGAAAATGACACAGTATTCTGGTCTCATAAAAGAGTTTTCGTCCTTCTCCACTCTCCATTGGTGGAGGAGGGTGAACAGACAGGTTTGGCTTTTTACAAACCTTAAAATTGCAAGAAATAATTTGAATGTATAATTCAAGAGATCCATAGTACAAATAAGGTATCGTAGAGAGGATCTTTTAGATGCTGATCTGTCAGTGACCCAGACAGATCGTTTAAGGGAGCTGATTTTAAAGTGATGCCAGGTTGTAGCATTAGTGGCATTAGCAATAGCAACTATGTGGTGGCATTGTGTTCCACAGATGATGAAATTCCCTGCTGAGTGCACTTTCAAATTATTTTAAACATACTGTATGTGTTTTCACATTGTTTCATATTGAGCCACAGAAGTGTGTGTGTGTATGTGTAGGAAAATACAACTACAAAAGTACCTCTAGGAATCTGTGGATATTTTAGATAAAGTTGCTCTTAGAGCATTAACATTGATTATCTAGCAACACTCTCAAAGGCTTAAATCAAAGTTTTACTTTTAATTCTTATGGACAAATGGCAGTGGAGGTTTTTTAGAGGTTACTGTTTTGTGGTTTTGAAAAAAGCTGAAACAGCTTGGAGAGGGCAGCAAGGGAGTGACTTAATTGGCCACCTGCACAGGAGTCCTTTCTCTTTACCAGATATGCCCCTGGTGGGATTGACTTACCTGTCAATTATCTCAGTGACCCATAAATTTAGCAAGTATAGGAACTCTGACTAGAGACAGAATGAGATTAAAATAGCTGACTCTCTTGTCTTGTATATATGTGTGTGTATCTTTCACTTCCAAATATATTCCAAGAGATATCTTGCAGATAATGTCCCTGAATAAATGGAATTATCTGCTATGAGTTAAAACAGAGACCAACTTTTAGGCTAGAATTTAAAAGGAACTTTTCTCGCTTTGATAATTTGCTAGTGTCCATGGGGGTAATGACGGAAAAGTACTCATTCTACCACATGCAAGACACAATCAACTTAATGTATATTCAACTCTACCTGCTAAGGCATCCAAAACATAAACAGAAGTGATTAACATATGACTCATTTTGCCTGGAGTTCCCCTCAGTGACCTGTGCCTCAGAGTGAGTGTGAAGATAGAGGCATGGACCTGGTACCATTCCCTCAAGGAATGTGGCTCCTGAGCCCTCTGCAGGATAAGCACCTTGCCAGGGTATAGGATTCTGAGGCTTAAAAGTAAACATCATATATCCATCATGGATAATTCAGCCATCATAGCTCCTATGTATAAGCTAGCTGCTTAATCTGATGCTGCCCTAAGGAATAGTAATCTGTTCCAATGCTAAAGAAATGCCTGGCTGTGTTGACTATTTTAATGTAGCACTTTCTGAAGGGATTTTTCAAGGGTAATTTCGTCTATATATGACTGCTGTGGACTTAATTGTGTCCTCTCCAAATTCATAGTTGAAGCCTGAATTCCAGCATGACTATATTTAGAGACAGGGCCTTACGGAGGTCATTAAGGTTAAATTAGGTCCTAGGGTTTGGCCTAATCTAATTGCTGATCTTGTAAGAAGAGGAAAACAGTCTCTTTCTGTGTGCACACAAGAAAAGGCCATGAGGACTTAGCAAGAGGCAGGCAGCCTGCAAGCCAGAAACAGTCTGACCAAAAGTTGACTGAGTTGGCACCTTGATCTGGGACATCCCAGCCTCTAAAGCTATGAGAAATAAATGTCTGTTGTTTAGGCCACTCAGTTTGTGATATTTTGTTACAGCAGCCTGAGAAGACTAATATAGTGACTTTCTTCAGAATCTAATCCTGAAGTCAAATGTGGCTTATGTGCCCCAAACAGACAGCTTTTCCTAGTATGCCCTTTGAGTGTTGTGTTACTGAAGAAGAGCTGAAGGAGGAAAACTTGAGATTATTTAAAGTGCATCCTTTCCTATTCCTTCCCCAGGCTTCTGTGTAGAGATGCTTCACCAATAAAATAAATCTTGGAGCAGTGTTATATCCTTAAAAGGGCACAGTATTGGGGGTCAGATAAATCTGGGATCCAAACTCATGCAGCCTATTAGTATATTTGTGACTCAAATGATCTTTCTGAGCCTCAGTTTCCTCAGTTATAAAATACAGAACATTTTAATGCTTGGGCTCAACAAGGCATAGACAACTGTGTAAAACTATGATTGAAAAAAAAAAGGAAGATCTAATGCTAATAGACTCGGTGGGGGAACCCAGCAGGTCCTGTCTCTCTTCATTCTTCCTGGCCTCTCTGAGCATGTGTTCCTTCCTTCTGGGTATAAGGCAGGACCCTCTCTGGAATGGGTCTTATGACCTACAGTCAAACAAGGTAGGTCAGATACTAATGATTTCTTTATGATCAGTTTTTACACAGATAGGGTGCAGGAAAAGTTAGAGTAATATTTTAATCCATAAGTATTTTAAGTTAGAGTCATATTTTAAGGTTTTATGGCTGGCCTTAAGGAAAAGGGGTGCTGGTTTCTCTAACCCACCTTGGGGAGGAGGGATTCTAGTTTCTATGGCCAGCCTCAGAAGAGAATGGGACTGAGAGATAAGAGGGCAGAAGCCAGAGAGAAATTTTTGCTTCTGAGGCTGTTTCTGAGGCCTTCTTTTTGACATATTGCTTTTAAAATCCCAACACTACCCAGCATGCTAGTGAAGCAGTTGATTTCTATTCTGACCCAAGCCTGTTTTCTTTCCCCATACTGGTACTAAACAGTTGCCTCATCTTCAGACCACACTTCGACTAGCTCTGCTCTAGGAGTCTGATGCTCGGGGGAACCTCTTCTCTTTGTGTTAAAAGACTTATGTCTCTTTCATAGACAATCTAACATAATGTCAGGACAAAACAGTTTATTAACTTGATTTCACACTTTTTATATCCCCATTAAATGTAATAGCTTAGCATACACATGGCTTTCAGCCTGCTTGAAGTTGAGCATGTTCTATAGTCTGAATGATCCTGAGCTGGGAACTGTTGTTTCTCATCAGCATCATCAATGGAGATGGTGGCAGTAGGTTCTCCCTCCTTTTGGCAGTTCTTAATCTTATTTTTGTGCCATGGATTCCTTTGGCAGACAGTGATATCTATGGACCATTTCTCAGAATGTTATTTTTAATTGTATAAAGTAAAACCTGTAAGTTAAGAAAGGAAACCAATTATACTGAAATACTTATCAAAATATTATGACAGTAATATATGTGCCCAATTATTAACACATCAAACTAGATCTAGGAACATGTGTAAGAGCTACCATTATCTTAAACAAGTGATGAACGTAAGTAAAACTTTGTTCATCTACAGCAACTCTAGTGGGTTATGAAAGTCTGTGTTTTCATAGTCCACAAAATCACAGGTACTGCTAATACCACTGTGGCTTGTTAGTTACATTATAATAGAGGAAACAGAAGAATTTCAGTTAGAGGTGAGTGAAAATGAGTATCTACTTTTTACTCATTCAAGTTCAAGAACTCCCAGTACTCTCTCTGGTTAGGAACCCCTCCCTTGGGCATACCCAGCAAGAGAAAAATTGGGGAGAGTTCTGAAAGTTTTTGCTACTTTTTCTGGGACAGATATTTGGAGATTGTAATAAAATCCAATGACAATTTTAGTCCCTGGTGAAATTATAATTTCCTTTTGTTTTATTTGGAAGACAAAGAAGCAAGTTTTGCTCCTAACTTATTTGTGGAGGCCTAAATTTCACTAAAGACTTAAACAAAGGTACATCACGCATCATGAGATACTCATTTTTTCCAGTGAAGTTGAGTCTAATACCTTTTCAGGATAAGTTCTTGCTTGCAAAGATGCTCGTAGTCTAATGGCTACATCTATTCCCATGAGGAGGAAAATTTACTACATGAGGAAGCTAGAAGATATGGGGCCCCTTTTTGGAAATTTTATTTAAGAAGCTCCAAACAGAGCCAAAGAAAGAAAAGGATCTTAGTGGATCAGAAAGGGCTTCTTAGAGGAGAGAGCAGAACCAGAGTTTAAAATAGAAAGACTCAGGTAAGAATTGGGAGGTTAGTAGGAGTACTGGGATCAGGCAGCTTTGGTCCAAGTGTAGGTATGACAGAAGGTGGGCCTATATAGGTTAGAGACAGCTACAATGAACCTTCACTGATATACCAGGCTGTGGGAAATTATTGGCAGAGAGGAGTCATTGAAGTATTTTAATAGGCATGAGATAAAGAGATTTCTGATTTTGGAATATTAACGGGACTGGAATGTATTAAATGAATTACGGTGTGGAGGAGGGGGAGCAAAATACAGTGTTCCTCTATTTATGATTGGATTATGTACTGATAAACCCAAAATATTTTTAAGTAGAAAGTGTGTTTTTGGCATATGATATTTTCAGTTTACAATGGGTTTATATGGATGTAGCCCATGACAAATGAAGGAGCATGCTTTCGTACCATCATAAAGTTAAAAAGTTCTAAGTCAAACCATCTGAAGTCAGGGACCATCTATACAGACAATAGTTTTACCATCAAATGGAACGACTGCATAGAGAAAATTATACCTACTTTTCCTACCCTAGTATTTCCTTTAATTGCCTAACGATAAGGTTCATCTAGAGAGCTTATTAATTATGCAGAATACCAAGATTCTTTCCTGCAAATTACAACCACAGTAGGTCTGAGATTCAGAAGAAAATTAGTGATTTTTGAAACAGCTCCACATGATTTTTATCTTATACAAGTTGAAAAATTATTCATAGGAATGTTTGGCTGATCAGTTCTCACACTGCATGTGAGGGTATCAAAGCAAAAACCGATCTAGACAAAGTGCAATTATTTAAATGAAATTAATTAATTTTTCTTTGCTTTTCAACTTTTATTTTAGAATCAGGTGGTACCTGTGCAGGTTTGTTACAGAAGTATATTATGTGATACTGAGGTTTGGAGGATGATGGAACTCATCATCTTGGTAGAGAGCTAAGTACCCAGTAGGTAGTTTTTCAGCCCTTGCCCTCCTTGCCCTTGCCATCTTTTAAATGTGTCGTTTCTTTCATTCATAATATGTTAAGCCAACGAACAGTTTGAATGACCATATAAGAGATAGAAGTTGGCTTTGAGGGGGCATTAAGAAGCTCCAGCAGTGCTATAAAACACCACATGTAAGTATTTATGGCAGTGCCACTGTATTTTCCAAATATTAGAAATAATAGTTATTATAATTTCATTTTTTCACAGCCCTAAGTATTTACTTAATATGCACAAAGAAGTAAACTGGCATTCTCCAAAATAATGACAGTAGAAATTACGGCAGCAAATGCGAAGACTGAAAAGTCAAGATAAACAAAAATTAAATTCACCATTGAGGCTTTAATGTGATTATATATATATTCTTATGAATACATGCATTTTACATAGCTGTTATTTACTTTTCCTGGGTGCCACTGTTTGAGTTTTATAAGGAGGAATATAAAGATAATTTTTTTAATGTTAATATTTTATTTCTTTACTTTCAAGTTTTATTTTAGACACAGGGAATACACATGCAGGTGTGTTACAGGAGGATAATGCACCAAGGTAACAAGCATTATATCCAATAGGTAGTTTTTCAACCCATTTCCCCTCACCCGAGTAGCCCCCAGTGTCTGTCGTTGTCATCTTTCTGTCCATGTTTAGCTGTCCACTTATGTAGCCAGTGTTTAGCTCCCACATAAGTAAGACCATGCAGTATTTGGTTTTCTGTTTCCGTGTTAGTTCACTTCAGGTAACAGCTTCCACCTGCATCCATACTGCTGCAAAAAAGATGATTTAGTTCTTTTTATGGCTGCATAGTATTTGTGGTGCATACCTATACACTGTTGGTGAGAATGTAAATTAGTCCAGCCACTGTGGAGAGCAGTTTGGAGATTTCCCAACGATAGAAATGGAATTTCCAATTGATCAGCAGGGAAGTGGTGCTAAATGAGTCAAACCTAACTCTCAGTTTCCTTTGGTGGAAATAGCACCCTGCAGTCAGCGTTGGTAGTTGATGAGAGTCAGGGAAAACAGTAGGGCTTGTGGAAGCCTCCTCTGGAGAGTGGTCTTTTCTGATAGAACACTGCAGACCAGTCCTGGACTGTCACTCATGATTAGCATCTTGTGTTGACATACACACACACACACACACACACACACACACACACACACACACCCCGTTTATATACTATTGAATTAATTTGGAAGAAGTAAGTTACAGGCATTTTAGCAGAGGGGTGTTATGAAATACTGATTACCATTTAGCACAAGTTGCATTAAAAATTTATCAGAAAACTTGAGTGAGGAGGTGAGGGCTTTTGGGGGTCACTGTGGGAATGATATATGAAGAGGTGTCAGCTGAAACCATGGGAGTGGATGAGGTTTTCACATTGGGTATGTATGGCATTAACATATCATAGGTTTTCTTTCAATAGAGTGTGTGTAAAGAAGAAAGAATGGAGTTCTAAAAACTCAGAGTCTTCTTAATCCACCTTAAGAGAGGTCTGTGGTGCTAAGGATGGTCAAAGGTACAACTGCTTTTCTCCTGGAAGCCCTGGCAGAGGAGAGCCTCAGTAGAGTGGTCTGGGGGAGTCAGATGCAAGATTTAAGAGTGAGTGGGAGAAAAGGTACTGGGAGTACAGGTGCAGTCTGGCTTTGAAAAACGTGAGACATGGAGGGAGGGTAGAAAAGAATCACAAGATGAAGTTACTGGGGATAGACGATATTAATATGTTTTACTTTTTCCAATTACTTTTTTAGTAATCAAAAATGAGTGAACAATCAGAGAAAAACAATTCCGTTCAAGAGGGACACACAGCTCATAATTTTCCTGAGAAGAACTGTCAAATTGGACAGAAACAACTGGTATGGCACATAGATTTTATGATTCCATGCTACTGGGGAGTGTCCCCTCAAGGATCTCTGAGGTACCCATGGACATGGGTGGGAAGGTGGGCCCAGGCAGGATGTCACAGGAGGAGCTCTGCCCGCCAGGCTGATAGAGCTTTCCCTCTGCCCCACTGCTCATTGCAGGCTGCTCTCGCCTCACCTATCTCCTCTCCACCTCCTGTGTACCCTGATTTGTAGACCAGCGTTCTGTACAATAAAATTCTGCTTTTTGTGGAGAATATTTACAAATGTTTTTATTTAATGACCTTTGATTTTGTTCTTATTATGTCATGTTATGGTTCTAAAACTGTGTATATTAACTCAGCTAATCCTTATCACACCATACTATTGATAACTCAGCTTTACAAAGGAAGAAACTGGGGCCTGGAGACGTAGGAATTTGCTCAAGACACATCACTAGTAAGTGGCAGAGCCAAGGCTTGAGCACAGGCAGATGACCCTGTGTCTCTGTCCTTAACCTCTTGCTATGCTGCTTAGAATAGTCATCAGTGGTACTAAGTTGTATATGTTTCATAACCATACCTAATGCAGAACAGTTTCATAAAGTTAAGTTTATGAAACCCATATACACACACCAAGATAAAATTTAAAAGAAACATTATTATATTATTTTAGACTGACTAGACTCATTAAACTAGATACACTGCAGAAAAGCCCATGAGATTTTGTTGTTACTAATTTGTTACACTGAAATTCCTACATTGAAAGGTTCACTTTTGTTTCCAGGTGGAGTATTTCATGTATATGTCGGCTTGTATGTTTTTGTGCTTATGAGATTATTTCCTTCTACAGTCCTTCAAAAGAGCATTTTCTTCCCTCATGACATGTGCCACATGTTCAAAATAAGTTATCAGAACAATATTTGATTGAAGTATTTTGTTATTTGTCTTCCAGCCCAGGCCCCATTTAATTTCTAATTGTCTCTCAGCTGAGGCCCCATCTAATTTCTAATTACAGTGGCTCACACCTGTAATCCCAGCACTCTGGGAGGCCTAATCAGATGGTGAATCACTTGAGCCCAGGAATTCAAGGCCAGCCTGGGCAATGTGGTGAAACCCCATCTCTACTGCATATATACACAAAAATTAGCTAAACATGGTGGCGTGTGCCTGTAGTCTCAGCTACATGGGAGGATCACTTGAGCCTGGTAGATTGAGGCTGCAGTGAGCCATGATTACACCACAGCACTCCAGCCTGGGTGACAGAGCAAGACCCTGTCTCAACAAAAGAAAAAAAAGTCTCCAGAGAGTTTTGAAAGTGTCCCTCTTTGTCCTAGAAATCCTACCAATATTTCTCTTGTTCCAATCTGGCTTTGACTGAGAGTCGAGGCTTCAGGTGGCTGCATTCTGAATTGGAGCCCCACATGGAGGCCAGTCTAGAGCAGCTCCAAAATGCGTCCCAGTGCACTGAAGGAGAGTGCTGGATCTACTTTGGGTTCTCACTGCGGTTTGAGACACTACATGGCCTTCTTCAGCTAAGGAAGAGCCTCTACTCCTTTGTCTTACCCACATCAAATGCTAATTTTGATGTGCATTCCCATCAAATTTGGAAAGATGAGTGGCATTTTGCAGTTTTAAACAGAATTCTTCTAGTCCCCTTGATTGTTTTTTACGTTTTTATTTTATAAGTGTTATACTATTTCTTTATTCAGAAAGAAAGGCCCAACCTGAGAAAATTTACACCATCTTTTGAAACTTAATTAAATTGTTTATTTCTTTGTGTAAAACATATATACTTTCATGCCATTATGGTGAAAGTTACAGAAAGTTCATTTTGAGAAAATGTAAAACAGGTAAAACTATCTGTTCTTACTACTAACACATTTTATTTGTTTAATAGCAACAAATAGAGCGTCAGTTAAAATGCTTGGCATTTCAAAACCCTGGACCACAGGTAGCAGACTTTAATCCTGAAACAAGGCAGCAGAAAAAGCAAGCCCGGATGTCAAAGATGAATGAGTACTTTTCTACAACATACAAGTAAGATTCTGACTTACTATATTTGATCTGTGGGACTATGAAATGCATGAGTTCTCCTTGACAAAGCAAAGTAATTGACGTTACCCCTTTTTTTAATTATTTAAAAATATCTCTTCTAGAGTATAATAGTACCTCTTAAGGTTAGCAACCTTAAGAAACAGAAAAAAAGGCTATAGTCCCAACTTAGGAATCAATTTTTTTAAAAGGCTTCAGTAGCCCTTTAATGGAGTAATGTCTTTAGTAGGAAAGATAATTTAAAAGTAACAAAGATGTATTATTAGAAGGACAAATAATATAACCATGGGAATGGATTCAGGATATTAAATGGGCACAGGACTACCATTAAGTACAATGATTGTTAGAACATTGTAAGCACGAACTTAGCAAACTATAAAGGAAAAAAATAAACTTGACTGTATTAAAATTAATTTGCCCATTAAAACTCTGTAAAAACACTAAAAGACACATCATAAAGTAGAAGTTATTTATAATATAAAAAATCAGTATCAAAAATATATGAAGAAACTTACTAGTCAATAAGAAAAGTATAAATATACTAATAGAAAAATTAATAAAATGATAAACAGGCATTTCATAGAAGAAACAACAAATAAACATTCAGGATACTCAATCCCATCAGTACATACAGAGAAGTGCCATACTCTCCAGCAAGTCAGAGTTTAGTCTGTCGACATCAAAGTTGACGAAGTTATGGGATATGAATTGAGTGTAAAAAGGTACAACCACTATTTAAAATCAGCTTAGTGTTACCTATGTGCCTTATGACCTAACATCTTCACTCCTGAGTATACATTAATATCTTGGAAAAAGTTTAATACATGTATAGGGAGATATGCTTAAGAAGTTTCATAGCATCACTGAAATAGCAAAGAAAATAAACTTAATAATCCAAATGTCCATCAACAATGGAAAAGATAAATAACTCATGGTATATTTACACAGTGGAATACATATAGAAATGGAAATATTTGAACAGCTACATGTACCATCATGGAAGAATCTCAAATCATGATCAGAATAGCAAAGAAAATCACAAAAGAACAATCGCCATATGTTTAGGGATACCTACATACATGTCATAACTAAGAGCAAAACAAGGAAGTGATTTTTATAACATCAAGGTGCAGTTCCTTTTTGAGGGGAGGGTAGAGGGATGGAATAGGTGGGGAATGAAGAGGACTTCACAGCTGTAACACTCTTGTTAAGCTGGACAGTGGGCACATACACAAGTTTGCTTTATTCTTCTTTATGCATTTAGTATATACATTTTGCATGCTTTGATGTGTATAATTCAGGATTTTACAAAAAAAAAAAGGGGGGGCATCAAATGGGTAGGAAACCATAAAATCTTACCAACAAGGAGAGTATTTGAGTTAAGGCAAAGGGAGGACAGAATCTGACCTGTGCTATGCTATAGATTGGTTTCAGGACCATCTACTCCATCATTCTAATAATAGATTTAAAATATCCTCTTCTGCTAAATTTCCTGGGGGGTTCTTAGGAAGAGTTTCATTCCACAGATAAAGCACTTTAAATGTGAATCTTCATTAGATGGCATTCTTGCTAAAGCGTGATCATCAGGCAGCAAGTACACATAATGACTAATCCTTTCCCTTCCCTGAATTATTGGCAAAGGGAAGAAGATGGAACAATACTACTTAACTGAACAGAAGGAGAGGAACTATTGTGGCTGCTTGGGGACAAAGGGTACAGAAGTATTATACATAATTTTGCCATACTAGCTTAGGACCACCAGCCTTCTGGACTTTAGTGGTAATGATGGCTGTAAGTTGTACAGAGGTATTTTTGTCTTTCTAAGGTTTTGAAGCAACTCAGTTTTGAAGGATTTATTTCAAAATGGTTTGGTTTTGAGAAGGTGGTAGGATTCTTATGAACGTCCTTTGTCCCTGGCCATGTTGTAGAGGCTGACAGAGAAAGTCTGAACTCTGGGTTCTCTTCTGGGACAGAGCATCTCACCTTCACTCACAGCTTATGATGTATGGTCCTCCATCCTTGGTCACCTCCTTTCTCCCTCTACACTGGGTAAAAAGCAGAATCAGAAAGGAACAGAAGTGGCGCTTAGAGACTGTTAGCCGAAGGTGCTTTTCTTTCTTTAAATGATTATGGTGTAGTAACTGATAGTTCTAATTTTAGGTAACGAAAATGTGGTAGTTGCATTCGGCATAGTGCTTTTCCAGGCACGGTGGCTCACGCCTGTAATCCCAGGACTTTGGGAGGCCTAGGCAAGTGGATCACCTGAAGTTGGGAGTTCAAGACCAGACTGACCAACATGGAGAAATCCCGTCTCTACTAAAAATACAAAAATTAGCCGGGCATGGTGGTGCACGCCTGTAATCCCAGCTACTAGGGAGGCTGAGGCAGGAGAATCTCTTGAACCCAGGAGGCAGAGGTTGCTATGAGCCAAGATCGCACCATTGCATTCCAGCCTGGACCACACAAGCGAAACTCTGGTTCAAAAGTTAAATAAATAAATAAATAAATAAATATAATTTGTTAGGTAAAAATCCATCAAGAATGGTAATATTTTAAAGAAAACTTTGGAGCATTTGTAGGAGGAAGCTTTAGTTAGCTGTTCCTCATAATTTTCTTAGATTGCTGCATTTCCCAACAATGCTGGAAAAATGAAATGTTATTCTTGATGACAAACCTGGCTGCACTGAAAGTTGCTTGATCTCATATTGACAGATTTCCCATGACATCACTGCCATAGAATATTCTGGAGTGTTTCTGGTCATCTCTGGAGTTCTGGCTCAGGGTAAAATGGTCATGTATATGATGTTTATTGTACACTAATTTATTCTCAATATTGAGGATGATTGCACTGTCATGTTAATGTCTTGCTTTTCCTTTGTAGAGTAATGAGGAAGTACAACAAAAGTGGCAGGCTCATCTGTAATGACGTTGACCTGTGCGATTGTCTAGAGAAAAACTGCCTGGGCTGCTTCTACCCATGCCCCAAGTGTAACTCCAACAAGTGTGGGCCTGAGTGCCGCTGCAACCGACGTTGGGTTTACGATGCCATTGTCACTGAGTCTGGAGAGGTCATCAGCTCACTGCCATTTAATGTTCCTGACTAAGTGCTCTTGCAGATGGACTGATTTGTTTCTTCTTACATGTTTAAGTCGACCTCTTTCTCTTGGGTGAATTTTAGGGCTTGGGGGAAATATTGAAAAAACATACTGAAGACTCATGTTCTGTCAAGCCCCAGAACAATGTAGAATGGGCATTAGTTCTGTAACCTTCTTACCTGTGTCAGCAATTTTCAAGTTCCTTAACTTGCAACCAAAAAATGTGACAACTGAGGGATCAGCATTTCTCATCAGCACCCTCATCTCTACTTTGCCTTCCAATTAAAACTCTTCCTCTTTCCTGATATCTGAGAAAATGTAGCTTTAAGAGTTAACTCTATAGCCGAGAGCTTTTCTTACACAGAACACAGAATCTTAAATTTATAATATCTAGTTATCCTTAGAATCTTATGTATCACTAGTTGTAAACCACAATTGCCATTTGGATTAAAAAAAAAAAAAAAAAAAACCCTTGTGACTTTGCACTGCATACCCATAGCTTCTTTATTTTTCATGTTTTAATATCATTAAAATGAAATTTAATGCTTGGCAGTATTTGTAATCATTAAAAATTTGTATTGTATTTGTAAGATTGAGAAGTTAGGAATCTCATATCCTAAAAGCCAGGAATTTACATATTTTTGTTTTCAGGAACAGTATTTCAGGATTTTTTTTTCATAGAGAGGAAACTTAAATTCCACAAAAATGATTTATGTATGTTTGTTAATTGAGTATATTGATAAGCAATTGACTAGATACCTGATATGGTGTTTTCAATTCTGATACGTTGTTAGAGGTATAAAAAAAGTTGAATTCAGCTTTCTTTGAAGTTATGTTTTTATAACAGTCTTTTTTAACCCTAAGTCAGTGGCTCTCATTCATGAGAATTTCCTGGAGGACTTGTCAAAACATAGGTTTTTGGCCAGGCCATAGCTCACGCCTGTAATCCCAGCACTTTGGAAGGCTGAGGCGGGCAGATCATGAGGTCAGCAGTTCGAGAGCAGCCTGACCAACCTGTTGAAACCCCGTCTCTACAAAAAATGCAAAAATTAGCTGGGTGTGGTGGCGCACGCCTGTAATCCCAACTACTCAGGAGGCTGAGGCAGGAGAATCTCTTGAACTCAGGAAGCAGAGGTTGCAGTGAGCCAAGATCACACCATTGCAATCTAGCCTGAGCTGCAGAGTGAGACTCCATCTCAAAACAACACAAAACAAAACAGATTTTTGTGGCCCCACAAGGATCTGTTGTCCACTAAGGATCTGGACAGGGCTCAATAATCTGTTCTACATTCCCAGGTGATGTTGATGCCGCTGATGTGGGGACCACACTTGAGAACCACATCTCTAAATTATTTTAGATTCATAATATAAGGAAGTATTTAAACCTCATTGACTGTGATACTGCCACTGCACAAAGCTTGAAGTATTTAAATAAAGTAATGTAATAAAAATTTAAAAGTAAATAAGAACATTTAGTTTTAAAATAAATTTGAAATATTATAGAGGGTTTTTGTTGTTATGGTTCACTTTTTTTGAGACGGAGTTTCCGTCTGTCACCCAGGCTGCAGTGTGGTAGCATGGTCTTGGTTCACTGCAACCTCCACCTCCGGGGTTCAAGTGATTATCGTGCCTCAGCCTCCCGAGTAGGTGGGATTACAGGTTAACTTTTGTATTTTTAGTAGAGATGGAGTTTCACCATGTTGGCCAGGTTGGTCTCAAACTCCTGATCTCATGTGATCTGCCCACCTTGTCTCCCAAAGTGCTGGGAATAGAGGCATGAGCAACCGTGCCTAGCCTTATAAATAGTTTTCAGGATTTATTTTTCCTTCTTAGTTTTTAACACTCACTTCTGCACAATCTACTTGTGCCAGGGAACATTTCTGACACTTCTGGATTTGTTGCTTGATGTATGTTTTAGGACTAAAATAACAAAAGTCTTAAAATTAATGATGTGACTATAGTACACCTGTCCAGGGAGTAAGAGCACTTACGTTCTTCGGCATCATTCTCCATAGAATTTACTGGGTTTTCCAGTTTCCAATTACTTTTACTGACCATACATTGTGAACTAAACATTGTGTTAAGACAAAAATGAATTGCATTACCTTTGACTGTCACAGCCCAGTAAGGAAGATGTAAAATCAAATTACCCAAGTCACATCCTTTGAAATGTTCTCCAGGAATATGCAGCTTGGAAACCAGTATAAATGAGTAGGGCCTTTTTCTGTTTATACCTTGTTTTATTTTGAGAGTAATTATTATTTTGTAATTGGCAGACCAAATGAATTTATTACTTCTTTATTTTAGAATCATATAATCTTAGAGCCAAAAAGAACCTTGCAGCTCATCCATATAGTGAATTAGTCAAGTACTAACAGAGAGGCTGCTCTGTGACAGGCAGCAGGCTAGGTGCAGGGGATCAGACAGTGAACAAAATCTGCCTGGCTCCTGTCTTCATGGGGTTTGTGGACTTATAAGGCTAAGCTCTTTTTGTTTTGGTTGTTTTTTTACCTTTGCAACTGAAGAAATTTAGACCCAGTGAAATTAAATGGCTCAGGTAAGGACACACAGAAAAACTGGCAACCCTGGTGTTTTGAACACTCAGACTAGGTCAGAGTTCTTTCAAAGATGCCATATATTTCCTACATTGTACTATTAAGTGCTTTGAATATAATACATATTCCTAAGACCCATCTCAAAGCTCAGGAATCTGAAACTGTAGGAATGAGACTTGGGATTCCATAATTTTAAACAAACATCCCTGTTAAGTCTCATGATCTGATACATCTGAGAAACATGGCTCTATATCATCAGTTGTCCAATTTTCATGCTAAAAAATAATCCTAGGCAAATTAGCATTAAAGCCCTCCTTCCCTGCTGTCTCCTCTTGTCATTCAGTCTTAAGGATTAGATAAAGGAATCTGGTTTAAAATGATCTGGCTTAAAAAGTGTGTTGAAAAATTATGTCGGTAAAATTTCCAGGTAAGACAAAAAATAAAATAAGGTAAAAAAATTGCATGATTACTAAGCAGACACCTTAATACTGCTATTATGGAAGCCTAGTAAAGCATTTGATGAAGTATACTTTTAGAAATCAGGTTATTTCATCTTGATCTAATGCCATTTCAATGTATTTTTTAAAGTCTCTTGCAATAAATAATTACAAAAATCAATTTATGTGAATTGTCAGAAACATATTTTGCAAGTGTCTAATTTTTATTACAAAGTGAATAAAGCTCTTTAGCTATTTGAACTAAATTCAGATTAACAAGGAATGCAGCTGTACTATCTGATTACGTTACCAAGGAAATTGTCTTGTCAGTGTGATAGGACTTTTTTCTGCTTGGCTATCTTTCAACACTGATGGCATGTCTTCATGAATATGTATAAAATGGAAGGAAACCTATTTTACAAAAGGAAATTAAACCGGTACATACTGAAAGATTTAGACAAATTATCCTGTGCACATTTATGCAAGGATTTTGGACTAGAATGTCATATCATGTCAATTTGTGTGACAACTTTGAGTGTTATTTGGAAGAGTTAAAGAATATCTGTACACTGTCTGAGATAATCCTTCTGTACTTCCCCTTCCAAATACCCCCACCCAAGACAACATCTTGGATTCATTGCAGGTATAGACATTCAGATGCTAACTCACAGAAAAATCATTTAACTTCTATTTTTATAAAAGTGAACAATGCTCTCTTGGATATTTTGTGGATGTCATAGACAATAGTTAGGCAATGAATGGTTTGGACATTTTTAAACATTTATACATGCAACTTCAGTGTTTGGCTACGCAGGGACATTTGCTTAAGTCCAGAAGGTGCCTTTTACATGGACAGCTGTACAATGCCAATTATGCCCCCTAGGGTTGTACGGCAAAGTGGCCCTGCAGAAAGGTGCCATTTGATGTCTGGATATCTTTGTTGTCCAGCATTTGCTGATATTTTCTATGTGTTAGACATTGCAGGCTTTAGATTGGTTTATATTCTTGTATAAAATACTTCAAAAAAAACTCTATGTATCCTACTGTCTACTTTTTCTTTTTTCCTTCATTCTTTGTGATGTCTATAATAGCGTAAGTTAGTTTTGAGGTTACTTAAGACAACAGTCCATCTATATGATCTAACGTACAGAGTTTCTGTGCTACTTTTTCCTTTCGGAACCTGTGTTTTAATCCTGGACTTAGAATATTTTTTATATTCACAGATTCTTAAAATTCTGCTTTTTCCACAGTATTTTTCTTTACTCTGTAGAAGGGAAATGACTCTTATCATTACTATTCATGTCTAAGAAACAATGTATTATTTAAGACATATTCAATTTGGAACCTATTTCTTTTGTGTTTATAATTTGTAGTTTTAACAGGTCATTTTTTTCCCTCACCGTTGTATGGTTGTCTGTATATTCTAAGTTGGCCAAAGCTTACGTCACATACAATAAATTCAGTGAGATTAGTGACTGAGTTATTGTTTTTCCTTCAATAGTACATTCAGTAGCATAGCGTACGTAATAGATACACTACTTAGTGACCCATTATTCATTTATTCATTCATTTACCAAGCACCTCTTATATGCCAGACACTTTACTAGGTGCTAAGGATACAATGAGTAAGGGCAAAAAACCCTCAAACATGGTTTCTACTCTTAAGGACTTTACAGAATAGTTGGGGAAGAGAGAGAGAGAGAATAATATATGACACAAACGAGTGTGAAAAGAGTAATGGGTGAGAGGAGTTATCAAGGACATCTTGACATAGTCTGGGTGGTCATAGAAGTCTTCCCTAAAGGAGTGGTCGCAGTTCTGGGGTTTGGAAAGTGAGAAAAATTTGCCAAGAAAAAGATGGGGATGGGGGTGAATGTTTTGGCAGAGTTAAGAGCAGTTGAAAGGTCTGTGGCAGGAAAGGGTAGAGCATGTTCCAGACACTAGAAGAAGCCTGGGTGGGTAAAGGGAAAGTATGAGAAGCCTCTGCAGAGCAGAGAGTGTTACATCAGGCCCATTAAGGAAGTTGAGGCCAAGCGTGGTGGCTTACAACTGTAATCCCAGCACTTTGGGAGGCCGAGGTGGGAGGATCACTTGAGCCCAGAATTTTGAGACCAGACTGGGCAACATAGCGAGACCTGTCTCTACTAAAAATAAAACTAAAAAAAATTACTGGACGTGGTGGTGTGTGCCTGTAGTCCCGGCTACTCAGGAGGCTGAGGTGGGAAGATTGTTCGAGCCCAGGAGGTCAAGGCTGCAATGAGGCATGTTTGTGCTACTGTACTCCGGCCTGGGCAAGAGTGACACCCTGTATAAAAACATTTTTTTTGTTGTTGTTACATGTCCAAAAAACAAGAAACCACTGAAGTGCCTTAAGCCAGGGGGGTGGCAGTGAATGACACAATCATAGTTGCATTTTTAAAAGACCACTCTGGCTGCAGTGAGGAAAACAAACAAAAGAGCTTTGTGATGAAAGAGATATGTGGGGTGAGGAAGACAGAAGCCACAGGAGTCTCCCACCTTCCTGGTTTCCGTCCTCAAACAGATGGTATGGCCACTCACTGAGTCAGGGAACACTGGAAAAGGACCAGGCTTGACAAACGCTCAATACACATTCCTAAGTGTGTGATTGCTGGGTCATACGGTTAGTTGCATGTTTGGTTTTGTAGGAAACTGCCAAAATGTTTTCTAGGGTGGCTGTACCCTTTTGCATTCCCAGCAGCAATGTATGAAGGATCCACTTTATCTAATCCTCACCAGCAATTGGTAGTGTTAACTATTTTTTATTGTAACCATTCTGATAGGTAAGTTGTGACATCTCATTGTGGCTGTAATTTGCATTTCCCTTAAGGGCTGATGATATTTTAATGTGTTTGTTTGCTATCTGTATGTAATCCTAATGAAATGTTTCTTCATATCTTTTGCCCATTTTCTAACCAGATTTGATTTTTTAACACTGTGTTCTGATAAATTTTTGTAT